TTCTATTAATACTTAATTAATTGTTTATTATTAAAAAAAAAATTAAAAGAAAGAAAAGGAGTAAGGAATAATTTTTGTTATTTTAAGGAATGATAAAAATAACATTATTAGAGTCGAAACTTAAAAATAAAGAAACTAATTAATTTATTTCATCATATGCCATTCTGTAGTTCTTGCGGAACAAAATTAAATGATGGTGCTAAATTTTGTCCAAATTGTGGTGCTAAAGTTTCAATAACAGAAACAACAACACCAAAATTCCAAGAAATTAAAGAAGTAAAAATTGAAGAAAAAGCAGCACCAGTTGAAATGAAAAAGACAGTAGCAGAAGAACACACTATTTCTACTGCAACTACAGAAGCACCAAAACAATCGTTTACAGAAAATGTTACAATTAAAGTTTGTCATGGATGTGGTAAGCCATTTGAATTAACACAAGCCAAAGAAATATTTGGACATATATATCATAATGAATGTTTTAAATGTCATATTTGTGGTCAAAAACTTTTTAGTTTTGCTAAATTTTACAATGATAATGGAGAAATAATGTGTCATCCATGTATGTTAAAGAGAGTCCCAAAATGTGCTAAATGTGGAAAACCATTAGTTGGTAATTTTGTTACTTGTGGAGGAAGAAATTGGCATAAAGAATGTGTCCCAGAAAATCTCTAAGACATTAATTTATTCAATTTTTATTAAATAAAATTAATAAACTAATAGATTTTAATCGTTTTTTAAATCTTTTATTTTTATATATCATTATTTTATAATAAATTTATTTGTTTTTAACTATTTCTTTTTCTTTTTTTTTAAATTCTTCTTATTGTTAAATAAAAATTTAATAAAGTTTAATTAATTTTGAAACTATTAAAACCGATATTTGAATTGAAATTTAAAATAGTCTTTCAAATCTTCTTCTTTTAATAAATAACTTATGAAGATAAATTGTTAAAAGAATAATTACTATGATAATAAGAATAATACAAATAACTGATGGTATCATAATTAACCAAATTGTGTTTGAATTATTTTGGTTATTAGTATCTTCATAAGGGCATTGACAATCATTAATGTCTTTAATTAATGCCATATATTTATCACAAACAATTGTTAAATACATATTTGTAATTGGTTGTAAAGAGTCATTTCTTTTAAACGTTTTGACAGTATCCAATGGTGGAAATTCATCAGCCTTTAATATGTAATATTTATCAAATAAAGGATCAGGAAGATAAATAAGAGTATTATCTAAAGTAGTTGTACCATTTTGTAATAATGAAATAAATAAGAAATCATTATGAGTAGGAATAATAATAAAGAATTTAATATTAAGATATTTACTTTCAATTGTATCTTTAAGATATAAATGTAATGTTGAAGCTTCTATTTGAAGAATTCTACCACTACTATAAGTAAATATATCATAGTTTATTCCAGTAATGTATTTAACTTCATAGTCATATAATTCTATTTCTATATTATTTTCTTTTGTAATATTAATAATTCCTACATAAATCTCTTTAAATGAACAACTCTCATCTATTGTTATTTTCTCACAAGTAATTCTTCCATTAAATTTATGTTTTCCAAAAATATTAATTTCATTTGCTTCTATAGTTTCATTAATTATTTCAGAAGTTGATGCATAAATTAAATGACAACTAACTCCAGTACAAGGACAGTTTGTACTATTCCATTTATTATTATTATATTTACAATAAATTTGTTTTCTTTTTACTTCTTGAGTTGCTAATATTGCTTTGTCTTCATCAACATATCCTCTTTTTAATAATTTTATATCAATTCCATTTTGAATAGTTTCAAGTAATACTCCATTATCATTTCCTTTATATTCAAAACTTTCAACAGAAAATACTTTTCCATCTGTCATAGTCATTAATGGATTATTAAATCCATGAGTTTCTAATGTAAATGTTTTTCCATTTATTCCATTTGGTAAATAGACATGAGACATTGAAATATTGATATTGATATTATTATATTGATTCTGAGAGAGTGTTATTAAATTTTTATTTCCAGTAATATTTAATTGTCCATTTCCTTGTTTTCCAATAATAAGGTCTGAAGTACTACTAATACTACATTTAGCATAAACATGTTTTAAATTCATTTTTACATCAGTGTGTATTGTATATGATTTTTTTGTTAATGGTGATACTGACAGTTCTATAAATCCATTTCCAGTAAACCTAATAAAACTTTGAGGTTCAAATGACTTAATATTAGTTAATGAATGAATGGAAATAATAGCATTATTATCTGTTTTAATATTATGGAAAGTACCATATATTGTTGTTATATTATTTAGATTTTTTGCTTCTATAATACATCCATTATCACTATATTTTAATATATTATCTGAGAAACCACATGGACAATGAGGTTGTGTGTATCCTCTAGAAGAATTTATTGGTGATTCATAGACATCATAAACACATGTTTGAGTTGGGCATTGATATAGTTTTGATGGATTGTTACATAAAAGAACTATCTTTTTAGAACAAGTTAATTCATAATCAAACATTGCTTCTGTTGATGTGGGTTGATTGTTAAAATAAAGAATTGGCTCATTAACTATTTGAATCAATTCAAAACATTGATGTAACGGAAATGAAGAAATAACAGAATTATAAAGATTGACCATGGATGGATTATCTAAAATAATTGGTATAGTTTGTTGATTAATATATTTTATAGTAGTCATATTCATATAAAATAATCCTCTTTTATTTAAATTAATCAAAGAGTTATTTAACACTAATTTTAATGGATTAAAAGTTTTACTTATTGATATATATTTAACGTCACAATGAACATTAAATAAATCATTAACATATAACTTACCTTCTCTTTGACGTAATACACCAAATCCATTAACTAAGTGACTGTTTACTAATCCATCAAGTTGTAATGTAGTTGATGGTTCAATATAAATACTCTCTATAACACCAGAAGAAGTATAAATGTGACTATTAGCTTTTATTTTAAGTTCAACAGAAATATTCATATTATCACTCTTAATAACACTCTCTTTCTCAATAACCACTTCATAAGCATCAATTTTACCATTAACTTCATTTGTACCAATAATATAAGAACATCCCATTTTATCTGTGTTTTGACAAGGACAAAATGTTGCTGTACTTTTAGATAAATCAAATGACTTTGGATTTGTAATGTCTCGTGAAATAATATAACAATAATCACTTACGCCATATTTCCCACATTTTACTTCTGAAACTCCATTGTTTCCATTTGACACAATTAAATGATCATTACAACTAAATAAAATATTTCCAACAATATTAGTATGGTCAAATCCATTTTTAACAAAAAGTAAATCAATTGTATTGACTGTTGATTGACAAACACTATTACTAATAAAAACCTCCTTATTTAAATTTAATGAATTTATTCTTTCAGTCTTAATTATAATTTCATTTGGACTTATATCACATTGGTTGTCAAAGGTAATGCTTTTAATGTTAATTTCTTTTACTTCAATTCTACAATCTATTGTAACTTTTATTAAATCACAATTAATTTTATCACCATTAATACTACTAAACGTATTCATTTCTATAGAGTTAACATCAATTAAATCACTTTCAATAATACCATTAACACTCACTTTGATTGTTGCTTGTTTTCCAATAATATTTTTACTATACACTTTATTATTAAAAAACAGTACGTTACTTCCATTACCAAGTAGTATTAAACCAAAATTATTATCATTCCCATTTAATAATATCTTTTCTACTTTACTTGATACCCATAATTCTTTTAATGATACAGAACTAATAAACATAGTATCATCAATGACTCCTCTACAATTCTTATAACATTTATTCTTTCTATTTGAGCAATAATATCCTTCATCTTTTTTTTCTGAAATTAGACAACGATCAACTAAACATCTATTGATATTATTAATACTCCATTCTTGAAAATCAATCTCTTCACCTTTTTCTTGCCAATATTCATTAAATGTTTGTGATGATACTCCCATTAAGTTACATGTTAATTTCAATTCATTTGGTAATACAACAAATGAAGATAATGTTGGGACAGAAAAGTCTATATACAGTTGGTTATTACAATTTTGTGCTGAAGCTATTTGAATATGTGGTGATTTAAAATCCAAAGGATTTATATGAATAGATGAATTACATTGTAATTCATTAAATATAAGTAATGGAGAATTTATTGTATTAATTAATGCAGAAACTGTTAATTCATGAATAGTAAAGCTCATTTGTTTTGCTAATGTAATATTATACAATCCATCAATAATGTCTACTCGTTCTGCTTCTAAATATCCACTATAACCTCTCGAAAAGGTAACATGACCAGATGAAATAATATAAGGAATAGTCATTTTATTTAAAATTAATAATTCTGAAGATGAAAGTATTTTATTAATAGAAACTGAATTAGGAACATCTACTTCTATTGTACCATCAAATTTTAATTCATTAGAATTAAACCATTCTAAGAATAGCCTAGGTGTAGATTCTAAAATAAGTTGGTTAATAGAACAATCCCAAAATACACCAACATAATCCGTATCATAATAAATATTCTTCATGTATGCTTTATTAGAATAAAACATATAAAATTCTCTAATTTGTAAATCTAAAGCATTAAATTGTATTGTATTTACAGATGATATAAACCAAATTGTAGAATTAACAATAGATAAGGTATTAATTTGAGATTCTTGAAGATAGTTATTTCTATATCCTGTAAGTCTTTCTAAATTATCAAATTTTAATAATTCTGATATTACTGATTTTACAATAAAAAATGTACTTTTACTAAATTCAAAGTAATTTGTTATTATATTACTAATACTCCATACAGAACTTGATGTAATATACAATTTGCTACAATTAATGCTATTGATATCTGATTGAACAAGGACTGAATCTAATTTGAAATTTAAACAAGTAATATTATCAATAGTATTGAAAGCTTTTTTTTGATTGACAAAGAGAGGAGAAATGATTTTAAATTCATTTTTAATATTAAAATTAGTAAAATTAGTTAATACTGAAATTTGATGACTCGAAACAAAAGAAGTAGCGTCAATAAAATTCATATTTCCCATTATACCAGTGTATGTCATATAAACATTTCCTAATTGACTATTACTAATAGTCTTAGTAAAATATCCTCCATATGAATCTATTTTTGAAGTGTGAAGAAAAAGGACTTCACCATTAATGTATCCATTATTAATTTCTAATTTATTTAATCGAACATCATATAATCCAAATAATATACTATTTGAATCAACAATCAACGTTTCTATTTTTTTTGTATTTGATATTCTTTCCATTTGTACACCATCAAGATGTAATGAGTATTTGGTTTTAAATTTATTAAGGTCATCCATCTCATATACCCTTGGTACCTTTAACCTAACAATACAGTTACTATCAGTTGGACATGGACATAAATTAAGTGCCTTTGAATTATTTGTTCCAAACCACCAATGAGAAGAATTTCCATATGTAATACATTCTATTGTTGGGATATAACTTTTTATTTCATTTTGTTGATCTGATATGTATATTGTGTTGTATTTAATCTTATAATAATACCCTGAACATACTTTTATATTTTCATTAATAGCAAGTGATGGTGTTCGATATATGTATTCCCCATTTGCTTGAGGACAAATGAAGTTAATATTAAATACTGTGTAGTCACTCATTAGACGTGTTACTCCACTATCATAGTCAATTAATGTTCTAATTGTTATAGTCCTTGATAAAAAAGATTCTTCAACTTTCCAATTACTTTTTCTAATTGATAATTGTGTTAATTCAATATCATTTCTTTCAGTCGGTTCAAATATAAGTATTGATGAATCTAAACTAAATGAAGAATTACTACTTCCACTCAATCGTATTACCCCTTTATTTACAAGAACATTCGAATTAATACAATTTTTAACCATAACAGTACCTTGTATATGTATATTAGGACATGATACAAATTGAATAAGACATCCCTCTTTACCATTAATAAAAATAGTTTCTTCAGTGTCCTTAAATGAAAGTTCTTTGTCACACTCAATACCTTGTCCCAAAGGAACACAAAAGAGGACTATCAAAACAAAAATTACCATCTCAAATTTTTTAGTTTAACTTTTTTCTTGATTTTGTGATGAAACAATCTTGAGTATTTTTCATAATTTTTTGTTATAAATAATTAAATTAATACCATATCTCTCCCTACGGAAGAAGTATTAATTAAGAATTGTTTAAATGGAGAAAAGTCCATCATCGGCCCAGATGCTTTAAATGTTTCAATTGCCTTTTTGAGAATATTAATTTTTTTTTCTGTGTCTTGAGTTTGTAAAATAATTCCTGAAATTTTTTGTAAACATGAAACAATATCACCCATTGTCCAATCCTTGGTGTTTAACGAAAAATTACTCCATGTCATTGAACACATAGTAGACAAAACTTCATCTTTATCACTGTCAGAAGGTAATCCTAAATAGATCCAATCACCTAACCTTCCTCCTCTCAACAATGCTGGGTCTATTAAATCTGGACGATTGGAAAGAGCTACAACAGCAGTCTTTCTTTCAGCAACTCCATCTAACATTGTTAACAATGTATTAACAACAGAATCGGTCTTCTCTCCATCTCTTCGATGCCCTAACGAATCAAAATCATCGAAAACAATAAGGTCTACTGTTTCATCAAACAACTCTCTAACGTTTCTTTCAGACTCTCCAACGTATTTACTTAGTAATTCTGACCCACGAATAATTTTGATACTCAGCCAAGAATGATGATAACAAAAATCTTCAACCAATGTTGTTTTTCCACACCCACTTGGTCCATATAATAAAATCCCAGATGGTTTTAATGGTTGAATTGGATGGCTCATACTAAGAATTACTTCTTCTAATTTCTTTCGTTGTTCAATGTATCCAAAAATTTTCTTTTCGTGGAAAATAGTATGACTTTGTTTATTTTCTTTGATTTGGATAGTATTTATTACAAATTCTACAGAAGGATAGAACAATGATATAATTGGAAGATGGAACCTTTCACAATCTTCAATAAATCTTTGAGTCGTACTAATAACAGAATCTGTTGCCTTATTAGTGCTAATAAACATAACAATTGTAGGTTCTTTTTTTATTTCAATAAATTGTTTAGTAAGTAATGGTGATGTTATTGATTCTAATGATATTACATTATAATTGTAAAGGTTAAAATGAAAGGGAAAGATTGATAATCTGAAAAGAATAGAAAAGACATCTAGACAAAAAGAAACAGTTCCAGACAATGAAAGAGATAATGGTAATTGATGATCAATAGCATAATGAAATAATTGAAGGTTGTTTTTTGAAATAAGATGAATAGAATCATTTAATTTAATTACTGAAGGTAGTAATGGTTTTAAACTCGAGAAAGTTGATTTAAAAGAATAACCAGTATCTACTATGAAACGTGTTGTTTTTGAAATAAAACCGGGTTGTGAAGATGTCAACACAACTGGAATAGAATTAATGTAAATGGGTAATGAATTGAAAATTGGTACACTGCGCTGGAAAAATGATCCAACACATATTTGTGAAGAAATATATACCCAAGGTAAAACGGTATTGGGAATATTTATAAATAATACAGAGATTTTTGATAGATGTGTCAATTTAAAATATGAAGCTATTAAGGGGGAAATAAGAATGATAGAAGAAGAGATATTCAATGGCTCAATTTCAAAAACTGATGGTTGTTTTGTACATAATTGCACATACCTGGAATTTTTGTAAAACAATGAACTTAGTCCAACACTCGTATTTAAAGAGGAATCAATCATTACCTGAAGTTCAAGTTCATGTTGAAACAAAACTGATAATGTTGTATGACTATCACAAATATAAAATGTATCAAAATTATTAATTTGACTTTGATCAATTGAGTTAACATGAAAAGGTTCACCACAAATTGATACAAGATCATTTTGACGAAATAAACATGGGAAATTTAAAAGGTCTTTTCTTAGTTTATTTGTTAATCGCTTCTACTGGAATAAGTTATTACAAAAATTTGAAGAATTTCCCTGGAAAACAAACAACTCGTTCAAATTGCTCATCAGACAAACAAGATAATGTTAGTTCTGTAATAGATATTGGTGGTTTTTCTAGTTCATACAAAGAAGAAGTCATCTTCTTATTTACATTTATACCAAAACAAAAATAAGGAAACTCAATAAAATCCGCTTCATTTCTGGAGCCATTCCAATAAAAAGGTAAACAAAAAGATTCAGTAGAAAGTAAATACATTCCTACTCGATATATCCCTTCTTTTGGAAAAGTAATCTTATTTGTATCTATGTCTTTTGTATAAACAATAATATTTTCATTTACTAATTTTTTCATTCTAATATTTTTAGTCCTAACTTTTAACTTTTTTAACTAATTTTAATTTACATAAAATTAATGGATTTTGAGAGTTTTTCTTCAGTAATAAAAATAATAAAATATTATAGATTTAATATAGTTTAATGATAAGTTAGGTAAACCCTCTCAGAAAAATTAAGTTCTAGATTACTCACAGCTTCCAAAGATGGTTTGTTCACAACGTTGTTCTTTTTCAATTTTCTTATCAGAACTTATCATTTTAGCCATTAATCGAAGTTGACCTTTTGAATCCAACTGCTGCTTCTGAAGCTAAAGCCCACAAGATGAAGAGATTAGTTCCAACCCCAAACAGTTATTTCCTTGAAATTAAATGCCCAAAATGTGGAGCTACTACTACTACTTTCTCCCATGCCCATAGACAAATTCTTTGTCAAAAATGTGGACAACCACTTGGACAACCAACTGGTGGAAAATTAAAGCTTACTCAACAATGCAAATTCAGAATTAAGAAGTAAATTAATTGACATTTTTGGGTGATTATTTATCATTGTTTTATATAACATTTATATTATTTTTAGTTCTATTTCCAATAATTTCAATTAATAAAGAAAAAACTTTTTGTTTTGAATAACTCAACGAATTATAAAAACCACTCATTCGTTTATTTGCTTTTATTGTTTTTATCTTAAAGAAAACAACAAAAAATAAACAGAGAAAATAATAACTTGTAAAATATTTTTTTTTTAGGAAAAGAAAAGTCAGGAACATTTTGAAATCTTTATTATTAGTAAATGGCTTCTCAACAAAAGAAAAGGTTTTTCTTGTTTAAAAAAAAGAATGAAGATAAAGATGCAATGGTGATGTCTTTAAATTTTTCTATAAATGATGAAAGCATAACTTCTAATGATTCACCTACACATCTTACACCTAGAACTCCTAAAACCCCCAAATCATCTCTTGCTAAATCTTCTAGACAATCATTTGCTGTATTCGAAGACACACCTAAGCATAAAAGTACCACAAATTCTGTTGATTTTACAATGCTTAATGCTCTTAAAGATATAATAGGGGTTGGAACAACTGATATAGAAAGAACACGTTCAGCAATGGAACAACTCAAAGAAATGTTTGCTAATCCAAGTGATGCTGTTATCAGTACATTAGTTCCAAATGTATTAAGACCAAATAAAAAGTATATTACAAAAGAATCAGTATATTATGTAATTATGGATTCATTAAGAGATAGTCAAAATAAAATATATGATTGTTGGTCAAGTTTACAATTACCAATTGAAGTATGGACTGGTAAATATACATGTTTTAATGTTATATTGGATTGTGCTAAAGAAAAAGAATTTGCAATAGAAACTGATATCGAATCAACTTCTAGAAACTTTGATTTATTTTCTTATGACATAATTAATATTGACGATGATTTTACATTTTTCAAACAATTTTTTTATCTTCAACGTTTGTTTATTTAATTGTCTTATTTTTACTAAATAATGTATCATTCATATCTTTATAGCCAAAACAATATTTTATATATTTCCTGAAAATGCTACTATTTTATGTTATCAAAAAACACAAAAAATCCAATTTGTAATGTCTTTTAGACCAAGTGGATTAAGAAGATTCATTTTACCAAAAGATGATGATTGTTCCAAATGGTGGATAAAAACATTGAATGTCAATGAAAAACCAATTAAATCTAAGAATAATATAAAGCTTCAAGACCAACTAATGAAATTGGAAACTCAACTTATAGTCAAAAATTATAAATTTGGAGTATTATATGCAAAACCTGGTCAAAAAACAGAAGATGAAATGTATAGCAATACAGAATGTTCTTCAGCATTTTGGAAGTTCATGGATTTAATTGCTTCAAAGAAAGAACAATTAAATTGGAATAGGTTTATTGGTGGTTTAGATTCAAAGAATGGTAGGACAGGTGAGTATTTCTATTTCAGTTTTTATGAAAAATTTTCATATGAAATTGTTTTTCATGTTGCTCCATTACTTCCAGATAATGAAGGTAGTCAAAAATTAGAAAGAAAAAGACATATAGGAAATGATATTGTTGTTATTGTTTTTAAAGAAATGGCTGATTCAACTGATACCTTTGATCCACGTTGTATTACTTCACATTTTAATCATATTTTTATTGTTGTCACTCCTGAAAAGAATGATGAAACTAATGAAATATATCATGTCAATGTCGTTTGTAAAAGTGAAATTCTTCCATTCCCACCATTTCTAGAAACTTCGGTATTTCATCATGACATTCATTTTAAACAATTTTTAACAAGAAAATTATTAAACGCTGAGAGAACGGCAATGAATTGTGGTATTTTTGTCAATAACTCAGTTAAGTCGAATGAAAGAATTATAAAACATATTATTTCTTCAAGTTTCGAATAATTTTTATTCATTTTTTGTTTTTTTTTTCTTTCTTTTTTTTTCTTTATCAATTTCTTATAAAGTAAAATCCAAAACTCTATTCGATAGTAATGGAAGATAATCAGCATAATGTAATTGATGAACTAGTTCAACCTGAAGGTTTTACTGAAGAAACTTCTGTAAAAAAACATATCTTTTTTCATAAAAGTCATAGACAAAAACATAATTATGATCCACAACGAATTCAATGTCAAAATCATATTTCTCATATAGGAATTAATTTAGCTTTTATTCTTTCTGAAGTAGTGTTTATCTTTCAAGTCATTGAACTTGGGTTGTATGCGTGGTATATTTCTTTGTTAATTTTAATACTATTTATTCCTTTATATATATTAGGTACTATTTCTTATAATCGTTGTGTTCAAGTAAAAGAAAAACTTTATGTTCCATTAAATCATTATGTTGAAGGAGAAAATGAATGTACAATTTGTCATTGTACAAAACCAGAAAGAAGTCATCATTGTTCAAGATGTGGTCGATGTGTTCTAAAAATGGATCATCATTGTCCATTTGTTGGTAGTTGTATTGGTTATGCAAATCATAAATATTTCATTTTGACTCTCTTTTATACATTTATACTCTGTACACTTCTTTTTGTTCTAACAATCTTCATTCTTTATATTGTTATACAAAAAATAATTTCAAAAGAATCATTTAAATTTGAAGAGATATTTTTACCTTTTCATGCAATTCAAATATTCATATCAATTTATTTCATATTTGTTACGTTTCTTATGTTATGTCAACAACTATATCACATTATTCAAAACGAAACAGGTATTGAATTGAAGCAAAATAAGAGTGGTTGGACTTCATGTAGAAAAAATAAACAAGTTAATAGATTTAATGTGGGATTCAAGAAAAACTTTAAAGAAGTATTTGGTGATTCATGGATATATTGCTTCTTACCTGTTTGGACTACAAAAGGAGATGGATACTCTTTTCCTACAAACAATTCTTTTAATGATACACTTTAACTATAACAAAATTTATATAGTTTTTGGTTTAAGTTTTGAGTAGAGACTTGAATAAAACACTTTTCTTCACTGGACTTTATTTCTCTAAAACTCTTGTTCATTTGTTGTCATTAAAAAAATAAAATTATATCTTATTGAACAACAAGACTCAAATGGAATAATAAAAAAATGATAAGTTATTAGTTTAACTATTAAAAAAAATAAAAAATAGAACTTAAAATAACCCTAAAAACTCAGTCATGTCTGGAATCAATCTCAACCTTTCAGCAAAGAAATTTGTTCCACGAAAGAAAAAATTAGAACAACAAAATGCAGCTGCTGCTCAAACAACAACTCCTAATGGGCCAGCTATTTCTGAAGATGAAGTTAAACAAGAAATTGCAAAAATTGAAACAGAAGAAAATGAAGTAGTAAAGGAAAGTGCAAACATTATTTTTATTGGACATGTAGATGCTGGTAAATCAACAACTTCTGGTAATATTTTGTTCCAATCAGGAAATATTGAACAACGAATTATTGATAAATTTGAAAAAGAAGCAAAAGAAAATCAAAGAGAATCATGGTGGTTAGCTTATATTATGGATCAAATTGAAGAAGAAAAATCTAAAGGTATTACTATTGATGTAGGACGTGCTTTATTTGAAACAGAGAAAAGAAGATATACTATCTTAGATGCCCCAGGTCATAGGTCATTTGTTCCAAATATGATTTCTGCAGCAGCACAAGCTGATATTGCTGTATTAATTGTTTCAGCAAGAAAAGGAGAGTTTGAAACTGGATTTGATAAAGGAGGTCAAACAAGAGAACATTCCCAATTATGTAGAACAGCTGGAGTTAAAACAGTTATTATTGCAGTTAATAAAATGGATGAAAAAACTGTTGGTTGGGAAAAAAGTAGATATGATGAAATTGTCAATAAAGTTAAACCATTCTTAAGACAATGTGGATTTTCTGATATTTATTCAATCCCAATTTCTGGATTTTCAGGATTAAACTTAACTAAACGATTAGACAAAGGAGTTTGTAGTTGGTATGATGGACCATGTTTAGTTGAACTTCTTGATTCTATTAAATTAGTCATGGGTAATCCTAATGGTCCAATTAGAATGCCAATTATTGATAAGTTTAAAGATGGTAAAGGTAATTCAGTTATTATGGGTAAAGTAGAAAGTGGAACAATTTACAAAGGATCAAAATGTGTTGTTATGCCAAATAAAGTTGATTTAGAAGTTACTGGAATTACTTATGATGAAAACTCAGTCCCAGCTTCAAAAGCTAGACCAGGAGATAATGTAAGGATTCAAATGAAAGGTGACCAAGCCGATTCAATTCAAACTGGTTTTGTCTTATGTTCACCATCAGATGTTTGTCATTTTACTAACTTATTCCAAGCTCAATTAGTTGTTTTAGAATTACCACGACCATTACTTACTCCAGGATATGAGGCTGTTATCCATATTCATACTTCTCAAGAAGAAGTTGTTATAACTAAAATTACAGACCAATTCGACCGATCAGGTAAATTAGCAAAGAAAAATCCTCCATTCCTTAGGAGTGGAAGTGTTGGAAATGTTGTCATTAAGACTGCTAAACCAATTTGTATTGAACCATATGAATTATTCCCACAATTAGGAAGATTTACTTTAAGAGATGCTGGTAAAACTATCGCTTTTGGTAAGATTATTAGAATTCATGGTGGAAAATAAGATGAAAGAATTAATTAAAATTTTTTTATATCATTTAATAACATTTAATTTTTATAGAAATTTCTACAAGAAGGAGATAATAGAAAAATTTAAAAAAAAAGGGAGTTGAAAAGAGTTATCGTATATTCTAAATTCAGATTTTATTCAAAAAGATAAAAATGGATATTTGAAACGAATAATGAAACGACAAAAAAAGTTATTGCAATTACTTTTCTGATATTCAAAGGAAATAAATGATGCAAACAGGAAAAATAATGAAAAAATAAAAAACAGATGATGGAATTTGATTTTTTATGTAGATTTATGAAGAGTTTATTTCTAACCGTTTTATGTAGAACTCAGAAACTCATCTAAGATATTTTTATTCATATATGATTATTATTAATCTACTCTTTCTTTTTATCGGGTTTTGTCTCTCTGAAGAATGTTCAATAGATTCAAATAATTATGAAGTTAAAGATAGTTGTACTTCACTTTCTTTTGATGATAGTAAAATAACTGGTGAAATTAAAGTTAATCTTGGAAATGGAAATACTGATATTGATAGTTTTACTATTGGTTCATGTACAAAACTCACATTAACAGGAACAAGAACAATTAAGACTCTTAAATTATCAAAAGACTGTTCATTATTTATTGAAACTGAAATAAAAGTTGATAAAGTTGAAGTACCAGAAGAAATGGGGACAAAAGTCCTTTATTATGCTAAACATGAAAGTAGTATTCCTTCAGATCTTTCAAAGAAACAATGTGATTATTATAGAGTATACAAAACAGCTGAACAATCAGAGTCTGACAAATGTAATTGTACAAGAACAAATAATAAATATTCAGAAATTGATTGTGATTCTATTACCAATTATTCTAAAATGAATCTTGTTGATGATTGTTCTAGTTCTACACTTACTATTAATCAGAATTGGAAAACTGTTCAACCAACAAAAGAATGCACAGTAACTTTATCAAATAGTATTAGCTCAATTAAATTAAAACAACAAAAAGACGTTGTTGTAACTGTTAAAGAAGAAGACACAAAACAAGAGAATGCTATTATTAAGGCTGGTTTAAGAAAACAAAATTCAGATTCACCAAAAAGTATGACAATAGAAATGGATAGTTCTGTTACGATTTCATTTATTAAAGTCAC